TCTGTCCATGCTTGGAAGATAGAGATGATAACGAGATAAGAGGATGAAAGATGTGCGAACAGCAGGTGTTTAAAAGGGGTGGCTAAACAGACTGGGGAGAGGGAGGGACTAGGGGAACTACTATGTCACCTAATGGAGGATTTTGACATTTTTATACATTTCTGGCATTGTGGTTCAATCAAGAATAGGGTTACTATTGCCCCTTTTAGCCTCCTAATCACTTCTACTGACAAGTGAGGACAACCTCATAAGATTTAGGCTCAAAGCCCCAGGAGTTCTGCTTACAGAAAGGTGGCAGAGGGTCTGCCATTTAGATGAGGGAGGGCCCAGGGCTCAGAGGACAGACATGTGTCCTGGGCTCATCTTCCTAGATGGAATTTGCCAGGCAGGGCCTGGGGATAGGGTTGGATCCATCACAGCCACCATGCTCTGTGGCCCCAGGCCGTATCTTTTGCCTTTTCTGTGCCTCAGAACCATGGGAAGAATGAGGCTCTCTCTATCTTGAAGAGACTTTGAAAAGAACAAATAATGGTAAATAAACCAAGGGAAATAAATAAATAACCAGTGATTTACCAAACTACACAAAATTATCTAATTACAGAACAGGAAAGAAAAACAAAAGGCTAGGGAGGGAAGGGTGAAAACCTCTCGGGGTGAGGGGGGCAGGGTGATTATCCCTACAGAGGGATTAAAGGAATTCGGATTTATTAGCAGGAGAGACAACCTGGCTCCCTTTCCTAATTCTTCTTAACAAAACTTGCCTTGCTCTTGCCGATGCTCCAAGAGGGAACATCTGTCTACAGGCTCCTGGATTCTGATGTGTGAGCATTTGGTCTAAGGAACTGTTTTCAAGCCTGCGAACTGCTTGGCAGACTCTGGTCTGGGACACTTCCTTATGCACCAAGTAAGGAACAAGCTACAACCACCAGCACAACAATGAGCCAAGTTGCGTAAGGAAATACACACTTGTCAGTCACTTGCCAAATGCCCTTCTCTGAGTCAGGGGGTTGGGTGTCCCACCCCTGCAGGGTCCTGCAGCCTGCGGAATAGTTCTTGCATGGTGCGTGTTTCATTGTGAGCAGAGACTCTCTGCTCACTGTCTCTACTGTCTCTACCACGTAGGGAGAACTTTATTTTTCCCAAATAAAGCACGTAGTTTGTGTTTGGAATGTGTGTGTGCTTGCACGTGTGCATGTGTGTGCGTGCATGTCACTGAATGTATCTGTGTGCCTGCCTGTGATGCTGGGCCAGCAGAGATGGACACACTTCCACGCACGAGATGAGGCCCTGGCCTAGCAGCGAGGGGATGTACGTGTGGGCGTTGAGTGTGAGTTGACCCAGAGTCCAGGCCCAGGGCCTCTGAGGACCTGTCGCCTGCAGGGCTCATTATAGAGGAGACCAGGTTCTTGGAGTGTCCCCAGAGCAATACAGAGTGCAGTCATGAGTTTGAAAAATATTCCTGCGAGAGATATAAATAAAGACTCCAAGCCCAAAGCCAGGGTTTGAGAAAGCCATCCTTAAACACAGGATAATTTATAGCTGCTGCCGTCCTGTCCCGAGGATGACTCAGCTCTCCTAGTCTGAGCAGGCCCAGCCTGCTCCAGTAACCTTTGGGTTTGGCTGAAAGAAAGGCGCTAAAGAGAAAGAGCGCTCCAAGGAAGCTGGTGAGCTAACCACCCGGCTACCGGCTGCCTCTGCTGGGTCCCCTCCCCCCGACCTCCTCCTGCTTCTGGGCAAACTCCAGCCTGGACAGGGCTGATCAGACCCTGGAAGCTGAGGAACAGGCCCCTTGGTTATTCCTGGCTGGCCAGCCCTCGGGAAATCTCTGAGATAGATGTTGGTCTACCTCTGGGATCTGGTGGGTTCTGGTATCCACACAACAGGCCAATCTTCCCCAGGAGGCACGATCTCAACACAGACACAAGTAGAACTGGAGAGTTGTTCTCAGTCATGGAGACTTTTGAAGCCCACCGAAAGAACAGAAATGAGAGTTTTTTCCTCTTTTATTAAAAAATAACTTACTCCAGTCAAGTGCCAAAAGTGGGCCGTGAAGAGGGGCGGATAAGCTTCAGCATTGTGGTAAGTGTGTGGGGAAGCAGTCAGAGTTGAACAGGGTTAGTTTCTAATTCTCTCCCCCTCCGCACTGCCTGCCCCCCTTCCTTCATTATATTTTTAGCAGACTCTTTGGCCAACCAAGGCGAAAGAGACAAATGCAAGTACACAGAGTGCTTATCAAAACCCGTGGATGTTTCTTTTTCTCTTTCTTCTTTTTCCCTTAAAAACCTTCCAGGAGCAGGGAAAGGACTGGAAGTACTTGAAGGTCTTTTTAGCTCCATGCCTCACCCCGGCTTGGATCTCAAGAACGTTTCGATGCCAAGGCCGTGTGCCTGACTGTCCAAGTGTAGAAAAGAAAAAGCGTCATTCAGAGCTATTTTAAAAATAGTTTCGCTCTTTGATTAAATGGCTAAACAGCCCTGGATGAAGTTTTCTCTGCTCTAGCCCACGAATTTGTGTAACTGGCCTAATTTTAACCTAGATCCTTGCATATCAGGAATGTAATCATCGCTAAAGATATGAACAGTTCCTGAAATCTGTAACTAAGTGTCTTCTTTCAACATACTTTTAGTGAGCCATTGTGTGTGTGTATGTGTATGTGTATGTTTGGATGTGTGTCTGCAAACGGGGTTGTTAGAGAGCTAAGTGAGGAGGAGTTGGAGTGGGATGCATGATGAAGCCCAGAGCCTCTTGTGTAGGGTGGGCAAGGGCTCTGACCTCTGGGCAGGGCATTATCTTTGGTGCCTCTCTCTGTTGTGTGTATGCAGGACTTATTGCTAAGCTATTGTCCAGGAGGGGTGGCACTAGGCTGGGATCCCTCAGCCTGGGTATTTATTGCTGTACATAGTGTTTATCTATGGTACATAGGTTTTTTTTTTTTTTTTTAAAGTTGCCAATATGATCAATGAAGGGAAGATCCCTTGGAGGAGGGGATGGCAGCCCACTCCAGTATTCATGCCAGAAGAATCCCGTGGATAGAGGAGGCTGGCAGGCTGTGGTCTATAGGGTCACATGACTGAAGCAACTTAGCATTAGCATGATCAATAAATACTGTTAAAGAGAAGGAAATTTCTTCTTCCATGAAGGAAGCTTCAAGTCAGTCAACTTAAAACACATACACACACACCTCCTCCCAGATCTACACAAACTGCCTTCATAAATGATAGAAAGCAGAGGACTACGGTAGCTGCATAACTAAAACCACAGTTTTGGCCTGGCCTGGTCGAGTTGGAAAAACAAGGAGCCTGCTTCAGATTTTGCAGCTCAGTGTTTTGAAGTCCAGCCTCTGTCCCCTGCCTCCTTTTTTTTTCTAATCTCTCCCTCTGGGAGTATTTTTTTTTTTTTTCACCTTCCCCCAGTTTCTAAAGGCCCCCTGCTCTTGTAGTCACCTGTTTTTTCACGTGATCAAAATAAGAAAGGCTGCTGTGATTGGATTGATTAGCACATAGAGATTGATTAGACTCTTCTAGATTGATCAGAGGGACTTCCCTGGTGGCTCAGATGGCAAAGAATCTGCCTGCAATGCGGGAGACCTGGGTTTGATTCCTGCATCAGGAAGATCCCCTGGAGAAGGAGTGACTACCCATTCCGGTATTCTTGCCTGAAGAATCCCATGGACAGAGGAGCCTGGTGGGCTGTAGTCCACGGGGTCGCAAAGAGACACAACTGAGTGACTAGCACTCCCTTTCAGTTTGATCAGACCCTTGAACTTTATGGGAAGAAACAATCTTGTGGAGAAGTGAAGAGTCTCAAGATCCCACAGTCATGGATGAGCAGCACCCTAGCCCTCTGAGACCGATGGAGAATCAATCTACAATAATTGGTAAGCAAGAGCTGGAGAGAAATTCCACGAGCCTGCCAGAGAGAAACCTGGAGGTGGAACTGGGGCTGAGTGAGGCCTCTGCCCTTTGCTAGCTGATCGCTCTGCTCGGATTAACACGAGGGTGTATTTGGTTGGGCTGTCAGTGGTTTGTTTCTTCTGCTCTCTTTGGAGTAATCCACGCATCTGGCAGGGCTCCCCCGATGTCATCTGTTCTCTGAACGTCTCAGCTGCCTGGCAGAAGAGCCCAGCCCAGCAGTCTTGGTTCTGAAGGTTATGGGAAGGCCCTTGGTAAGAAAACCAGCCTTGAATTTCTGGATTCTCTTCCAGAAACAGTGAGGCCCCTTGGATTGGGTTTGCTGTTAAGCTTGGATGCCCCCTCTGTGCACACACTCTGATCATCTGCAGTTCTCAGGGAAACACTCCAAAGATACAGGACCCATCTTGGGTGCAGCAGGGGAACACAGAGCCAAAAAGATAAATTTCCCATCCCCCGGGATGAAGGTCTGAAGAAAGATGCGTATCTGTTGCTCAAAGGAGAGGGGCTGTGTGTGTCTGCACAAGGCGATGGATGGGATGGCCTTTGTCCAAAAGCAACACAATTGTGATCTGACAGACTTGTGAGATGGGCTGCTCACGTGCATCACAGCCCACATCAAGGTCGCCGGGACCTGCACACATGACTTCCCTGGGAAAGGAGGACCTGCAACTTCTGGAGAGAATTCAGAGGAGTGCTGGGGCTGGGGGGTGGGGGAGAGGAGGCGGAGAACTGAGAGGGAGGCGGTCCACCTTGAGTATCCCCCCTCTGCTGCCTTCCCCCACCCTACTCCCCTAAGGCAGAAGCCCAGGGCAGAGGTCAGACTAAAACCAGCTGATTCTGTGGCTGTTTATACCCTGTAACCAGAGCCTGTGCCTGCTAGGCTGCCCAACAGCTGCGGAGATAAGGGAATGGGCCGTCGCTTCCAAAGACTGGGTGACCTGTACTCGCGTCTACCTCGGGGGCCGCTTATCCCGATCATTTACCTAGCCAGTGGGTGGGAGTGGGGAGAGGTGGGGCTGGCTGCCAGCTCCTGCCCAGGTGGCCGGGGCGACCTGCTCGAATACAGGGTGAATCTTCGAGCTCCATATGGGACTTCCTTTTAGACTCTCTCCAAACCCCCTGTCTCCTCATGGGGTTGCTTTTTACCCGGTCAAGAGAGCTGAGAGAGGAGTTCTGCCTGTTTCTTGGGTTTGTTTTCCTCTCTCTTTATCTTTGTCATCACAGAAACAGAAAAGAACATGTGGTAAAGCTCTGGATCAGGCGAAATTTCTAGATTCTGCTGCCAAATGCATTTCAGGCCAGGGCACTTCTTGCCTTGCCCCCATCCCAGAGTTCCCCTCTGAGGTTAGCCTTGTCTTCCCTCCCATCTCCATCCTCTCAGCCCTCCAGGCAGGGGGAGGGAACTCTCTGCCCATTCGGGACTCCCTGCAAGAAGGCAGAGGTAGTGAACCCTCCCTGCTGGAAGACTCCAAACCAGGCTTATCCTGCTAGTCCTTCAGTAAGCGGTCCTTCTAGTCCATATCCCCATCCTATGGGGGCAGGCTCCCTCCACCTCCATCTTCCAGTCTGCCCCTTTCCTCTCCCATTCTTTCCCCTCCATCCACCGTCTCCAGCCCCTTGGTCCTGGCACCCCTCTGGAGCAGGTAGACATCCTGTTCTGGTTCTCACTGTTCACGCCTCTCAAGTATGAGATTTGAAGATGGCTCACATGTTCTTTCCTTCAGTTTCTTGTTCCCTTGCCACTTGGGCTCGTCTTAGAGCCCAGCACTGGCATGGCCCATGACCTGGGACACTCAGCGCTGCCTGCCAAACGGCTTTTTATTTTTTACTGTCCCTGCCTGTCCCTTCCCTGCTGGCAACCTGGGCAGGAGTGGAGGTGGGGCTCATGGAGTTGGCTGAGTTTGTTCAACAGCTGCCTCAGAATGGAAAAGGTGAGGGCAAGTCTCTAGCGTAGGGGAAAAACAATGAAAACCAAGGAGTTTCGACTAAGAGAATCCTGAGTTCAAGTCCACACATGACCAGTGACCAGTTGTGGAACCTCAGTGTCCTCATCATTTAAAATGGGGATGATGACACCTCACCCTTCAGGGTCAGAGGAAATAATGAAAAGGAAGATGCTTGGGAAATTGTTTTTCCTTAGTGTGTCTGACAGTGGGTGTCAGCAATCTTTGGTGCCTGCATGAATACAAGACAGGAGAAGAGAAGGGTGAAGGAAGGAGGGAAGGAGAGGGGGGAGAGGAAAGAAAGCGAATGAAGCTTGCGGGGACCCCCTGCTTTTTCAAGTATCAGAATCTGAAGCAAACTGAACTTAGAGAGACTGCTGAGCTTGCAGGTTCTGGCTCCAAGATTTTCTGCGTCTTAAATTTGTAATTGGATACTCACTGACAAAGCTGTTTTTTTTCTTTTTCCTTCCCCTGATCAGAGTCTAAGGGAGCTGAGAGTGCATCAATCTAACGGCCAGAACAGAGGGGTTGATTAATATCTGCTGGTGTGTGTCTAGAGGACTTCTCCAAAGAGAGGATTGCCTGAAGCAGCCAGGCTTACCTCTCGCTGCTCCCCACTTTCACTGCCCCGCTCAGGTCCTAGGCTTCTCCTGCTCCCTCTGGAGCCTGAAATGTGTCTTATGCTGCATCCCCCTTGGGCCTGGAACATTTCTGATGCAGATCACTTCCAGGGCTCTGCCACTTTCCGACTGACCTGGGTAGATCACTGAACCCCTCTGGGTTTCAGTTTCCTTATCTGTAAAGAGAAAAACTAGATACAGCCTTTGTTAGGAAAGCTAAATGGGATCATGTAAGGGCTTTGCCAACAAAGGTCCACCTGATCAAGGCTATGGTTTTTCCAGTGGTCATGTATGGATGTGAGAGTTGGACTGTGAAGAAAGCTAAGTACCGAAAAATTGATGGTTTTGAACTGTGGTGTTGGAGAAGACTCTTGAGAGTCCCTTGGACTGCAAGGAGATCCAACAAGTCCATCCTAAAGGAGATCAGTCCTGGGTGTTCATTGAAAGGACTGATGCTGAAGCTGATGCTCCAATACTTTGGTCACCTGATGTGAAGAGCTGACTCACTGGAAAAGACCCTGATGCTGGGAGGGATTGGGGGCAGGAGGAGAAGTGGGCGACAGAGGATGAGATGGCTGGATGGCATCACCGACTCGATGGGCATGAGTTTGAGTAAACTCTGGGAGTTGGTGATGGACAGGGAGGCCTGGCGTGCTGCGATTCATGGGGTTGCAAAGAGTTGGACATGACTGAGCGACTGAACTGAACTGAACTGAAGGGAAAGACCTAGCCCAAGGCCTGGCTTCAGGCTGTAGCACAGGTGATGGCCACTCCTGCTTGGGTTCATCAGCGTAGCTTCCCCCTTCCTGTCTCTGGGGGAGCTGTCCCCTTCCATTCCATTCATTACTCTGTTCCTCCCTCCCCCACAACAAAGACTGGCTTTAGCTAATTTCCTCCCTGTCATCAAAGGTAAGCCCGTCACCTCCTACCCTACCTGCCTGCATCTTTGTTTTATTGGATGTAGGAGAAGTTATAGATTTTAGAACTTTGCACCGTCCTGCAAGCTTAGAACTGCACATCTTTTCTGGTGGGATAATAGCTAGAAGCTCTGTTGGGAATTAGCCTCCTGCTTGAATTGATTTATTTTAAATTAAAACCACATTTATGAGACTTCCCTGGCAGTCCAGGGGTTAAGACTCTGCTTCCTAAGCAGGGGGCGTGGGTTCAGTCTCTGGTTGGGGAACTAAAGATTACACATGCCACATGGTTAGGAAAAAAAAGAAAGAAAAACCACATTTATTTACTAACCAAAGGGTTGATCCTAATTAAAGGAATACTTTGAAATAGTTGCATGTAAAATGTTTGTGATAAAAATAATTAAATGCAATGAGGAAAAGGAAAAAAAGCATATGAAGATATAGACAGAACTTGCGTATCATCTCAAAGTTAATTGTCATCAAACATGATGGTGAAATTTTTACTCTGCTTTTTTGTATATCTGAACACAGGTGACATTTTTCCTCATACACTGCACCCACTAATTTTCCATCTCTCATTTTTCTTGTCATTATGCTTTCGTTTCTCTTTTTGTTCCTGGTGTTGGAGCAATGTACCATTTGTAAAGTTAAAGATCTGAGTTTTTCTGCCATCAGCTGCAGTTTCTTCAACTCTCTCTCCCAGGTCCCAAGAAAATTGTGTTATTTTCAAAGTGTTCTCAGCCTTTACTGGAGGCCTTTGTCATCAGAAGAGATGACACAATCTGGGTTTTGGCCATTGCCCCTGTTTTTTTTTTTTTTTTCATTTATTTTTATTAGTTGGAGGCTAATCATTTTACAGTACCGCAGTGGGTCTTGTCATACATTGACATGAATCAGCCATGGATTTACATGTATTCCCCATCCCGACCCCCCCTCCCACCTCCCTCTCTACCCAGTCCCTCTGGGTCTTCCCAGTGCACCAGGCCCGAGCACTTGTCTCATGCATCCAACCTGGGCTGGTGATCTGTTTCACCATAGATAATATACATATTTTGATGCTGTTCTCTTGAAACATCCCACCCTCGCCTTCTCCCACAGAGTCCAAAAGTCTGTTCTGTACATCTGTGTCTCTTTTTCTGCTTTGCATATGGGGTTATCGTTACCATCTTTCTAAATTCCATATATATGTGTTAGTATGCTGTAATGGTCTTTATCTTTCTGGCTTACTTCGCTCTGTATAATGGGCTCCAGTTTCATCCATCTCACTAGAACTGATTCAAATGAATTCTTTTTAATGGCTGAGTAATATTCCGTGGTGTATATGTACCACAGCTTCCTCATCCGTTCGTCTGCTGATGGGCATCCAGGTTGCTTCCATGTCCTGGCTATGATGAGCAGTGCTCACTGCCCCTGTTTTGGACAGAGGTGTTATCACTTTTACTGCCTTCGTGTATTTACCAAAGTCCTTGCCCTTTGCCAGGCACCAGAGGGTGCTTCTTACACCCTCTTCTTGTGAGGTGTGAGCATTTCTAACATATTTTAGCCAATTTACATATTGTTTTTCTAATTTCAAGGAAAGAGCCCATTTCCATTATTCTTCATGCTAATAAACAGGGACCAGTAAAAAAAAACAGTTTTGATTAGAAAATTAACAGTGTTGTTGTTGTTCAGTTGCTCAGTAATGTCTGATTCTTTGTGACCCCATGGACTGCAGCACACCAGGCTTCCCTGTCCTTCACTGTCTCCCAGAGTCTGCTCAAACTCTTGTCCATTGAGTTGATGACGTCATCCAACCATCTCATCCTCTGTCCTCCCCTTCTCCTCCTGCCCTCAATCTTTCCCAGCATCAGGGTTTTTTCCAATGAGTCAGCTCTTCGTATTAGTTGGCCAAAGTATTAGAGCTTCAGCTTCAGCATCAGTCCTTCCAATGAATATTCGGGGTTGATTTCCTTTAGGATTGACTGGTTTGATCTCCTTGTGGTCCAAGGGACTCTCAAGAGTCTTCTCCAACAAGATAGTTCACAAGCATCAGTTCTTCACTGCTTAGCATTCTTTATGGTCCAGCTCTCACATGACTACTGGAAAAACCATAGCTTTGATGTGATTAAGAACCAGATACTCGAAGGACTTGGGGTGACTGACTGGAGACAGGACTTACCTTCCTGAGGCCCTGGGAGATTGGGTGGAAGCCACCTTCTGCTAGACTTCACATCCTTCCCAGGGTCTTCCCTTCTTGCTCTGCTTCCACATTTTCTTATCAGCCCTTTTGGGGAGCACTTTCATAATACAGTGTGAGCACTGTCTAAGATCCCCCCTCTCAGATCTACTTCTTGGGAACTGAATCTAAGACAGCTGGCTGTGCATTTCTGCATGTTGGTGGTTCTCGGAGTTGAGAGAAAACTGGAATTACTAGAGGAGCTTGTGAAAAATGCAGATTTCAAGGTCAGATGTCAGAGAGTGTAGTTGACTAGGGTGGGGCCCTCAAATTCGCAATTTGGTGAGCTCTCTGGGGGGTTCCTGCATTATGGCTCTGGAGCCTCGTTTTGAGAGCATGGCTGCAGCCCTGGGACAGCGCTAACCCGTAACAAGTTGGTTGCTGGCTTGGGCTTCTTCAGCCCCACCCTACCTTGACATCTGCTGATCCCACAACTCCAAGTGGCTTGGCTTCAACCAGGAACAAATTGCTGCTGCCTACCGTCCAACTGGCACTCCCCTGGTGTCAGGCTGATCCTTCAGGCAGGGTCACTTACACATGGCTCTGATTCAGCCAGGACGCTTTTCAGAGACCTCCACATTTGAATGTTTGGGAATCACAAGACTTCTCCTTGGCTCCCATTCTTCTGTTCTTTCCAGCATCTGCCCAAGTTGCCCAGTTTTCATGTTCTGGTTACCGAGGTCCCCTTCTCCCCCGCTGCACACATTCTTTATCTCAGATCTCAGCAGCATGGGGCGTGGGACAGAGACCTGAAACAGCCACTTCTGGCAGTAAGTGTGGTAGTTACACACACGAG